GGGGGGGGGGGGGGGGGGGGGGGGGGGTACCGCGTGACGCTGGATTCTGCAGTTTCTGCTGGTGAAAACAAATACGATGGCACGATTGGCGGAGATATAAGACCTGCATGTTGAATTTCTGGGTGAAATAAGACGGAGGGATAACTTATCTTATTTTCGTCACTAGGGAAAAAATATTATTAATATAATGACAAAAATATTGTTCGACACACGGCCGTGGGAACTTTTCTACCTTATGTGATTACAGAAAAGTCTCATTTGCCAGAAAAGTTCCTCACGACCTTGTGCCGAAATGTACTATTTTGTCACTGGGTCTGATAAATCGCGGTTTTTGCGCCTAGTGACTAAAAGTATCATTCGACGAGTCGAAGGCGAGTTGAGTAAATTTTGTAATTACTTCGTAGATGTTGTCACGTCTCCGTCGACGACGATAGCTCAAAAATCACGTGAATGCGTCACGTCACTCAGGTCTAATCGCAATTTATTTGAATTAAGAATGCAGTAACTTTTGAAACAATTTGCATTCGCCATGTTTACTATTTATTTATTTATTATATATTTAGTTTGTATAGATCCAACAGCATAAAGTCAATTACAGGATGAAATTGAAAACATATTGCGTATTGTAAATTTAGAGGTTTGGATTACATATATATATATATATATATATATATATATATGCTGGAAGATGCACTATGAATTTGAAAAACTTGACGTAACTATCTAAATATGGATATGAGAGGATACAGATTTGACCCTCTAATTGGCCTCGGCTGTAGGGTCTATAAGGTAATAAATAAATGAATGAATAAATAAAAATCCTATTCACCAGAAAAGTTCCTCGCGGCCTAGTGTCGACATATACTAATTTTCTGTTTACACACGGGTATGAAGAACATTTTTATGAACCAAAATTCTGAGTAGTTTGAGGCATGATGTTTCTGCTTCGGTATTTTAGTGTAAATAGAGTTGAATGAATAGCTCTATTGAGTGAACGTCACCAGAGGTCCAGACGTAGTATCCCTTTTTCATTTAGTCAGTTCTTCCAAGGAATTGGTAGAGCGGATGCGTCTTCCGAGCGTATTAAATTAAGAGGAAGAATAACAAAGGCTCTTTTTCACTTATTTACTGGTTTGGATATTGAAAATACCCTATTTCCAATAAAATTACATTAAAAAACATAAGTCGTGTGACAGAAAAGTGGAGAAAATCAGTAAATTTGAACGGATCCTGTATACGAAATCAAATGAAGAACTTTTTCCTGCGCAAGAAAATACATAAATGGGATGATGTTCCTCAGGAACACGGGAAAAAGCGCGAAGGATTGGACTAGAGAATAATTCACACGACTCGTTTAAGCAGTCGCAAATATCAGGTCAAGCACTTTTTCTTTTTGATATCATCAATTCCATCAATTCCTAGTGCCACAGAAATACTGTATTTCGAGGTTTTTCACGAGGCGGAGCCAAGGGCTGCCAATCCCACGAGCTGAAAAATTCCTGTCTCACGTGTGTCGGACAGTATTTTTTGACAGTGATGTTACGTTCAGCGAGTGGCCAACCTGTGTCTCTTTCATTCATAAGTGAACGAAACGGCATTTTTTGGCTTCAGGTGAACGCAGCAGCAGTGTAAAAATAGTATATTTCAGCACGTGTGGGGCAATTTCGTCTTTAACGTGTGTGGGGTTTACAGCATGAGCCGAAGGCGAGTGATGTAACCACACACATTGAGGACGAAATTTCTCCACAAGTACTGAAAAAAATTTTACGTCACGAAGCCTGAATCCAGCCGGTTTCAGGCATGAGTGGCATAATAGTATATTTCGTAACGAGTGCAAAAAAGTGTTTTTTGGCGAGTGGGAGGTTCATATCACTCGCCTTCGGCTCGTGATATAATCCCACGAGCTAAAAAACATTTTTTCACGAGTTACGAACAATATTTTTCATCACAATGTGGCGGAAATTGGACTTTTAGGCACCCGGAGCGTGCCGAAAAGTTCACTTTTCGTCACAGGGTGGTGAAAATTTCTAAAAATCCCTGAATCAAAACAAATTCTGCATAAGAGGAATGGGATGGCGAAGAAGGAAAAATAATCCTAGATCGGTCATCGCGTGACGTCACCTCAACTTTTCTGAAAAGTCCAATTCTGTTCTTAAAAAGTGTTGATAAATTTCGAAATATTTTTTCCAATTGCTCAGTCCCCCAGAGCAATCCAACACCGTCGAAAATCCTTTAAATAAGGTTTTCGTTTTGATATCGTGAATTCCTAGTAACGCGGCCAGAAGAAACGTTTCAGAACGCATCTACAGCGTGGAAGGAACAGTGATGCAGTGGAGAGGGTAGTACGAGCTAATTTATGTAATTAAACTCGCGGCATTCGTGACCTTGTACGGCTCAACGACGAGCGTGGGCTGTACATTGCACATGCGCCTCGTACATTAGCAGAAGCGTCGCAGAAAATACAAAACGCGTTCAATCCAAAATGGCGAATGATTGTGCCAACTCGGTGAATTCTGTTACGCAATTGGTTCTACAAAATGGCGGATGGATTGATAACTAACTGATCCTAAATAGATTGACCCAATGACACATAATTCGTTTGTCATCTGTGATGACGGGGTTGCGCAATCATTTCTTGGGGATCATCCGCGGGGCGGCCCTTCGTTTTAGTTTTTCATTTGGATTTTCGATTCGTCCTTGACTGTTTAATTTTTTTGTTTGTCTTTTTGATGATTCCTCGGCGGAAGAATCTCTTTGGAATGAGGAGGCGGTTGAGAATGATTTCGATTCGGGATCTATTCGAGATTACGAATTTTTCTGAATAATACGGAATAATACGGACTCTTGTGGACATATGCGCATTAAAATATTCTTTCTGTGACGACGAATATTTGTTCATGCAGATTGATTTAAATAGGAGCTGAGAGGGGCCCGCGAGAAGTAGCGGGTGACATCTGGCGGAATTTTTGGACTCTTCTGGCTTGTGAGGAGATATTTTTGTGTTACCCACTGTGAGCAATGGAAACTGCAAATTTACCTACTCTAGATTCTGCATCGATGAGCGAAATTCGAGGTGTTTGCGAGGCGAAGGGTGCAGTAGAAAAATTCAGTTATGTACAGACCATTTTTTTTCCTCCGAGTGGAAGCTTTGTAATCATCCAAATTTAAGTTTCTGATTTTTTGTGTGATGTCCACCTCGTATGATCCAAAAAGTACGAAAATGCAATTTTTAGACCTCGTCCGATGGGTGGAATTGCAATTTTTTTTTTCAAATGTAGGTATTTTGAGGCCTATCGATCGCCATTAATTAAATTTAATTCATCGATTAAATATATCATAATGTTCTTCATGACTTGATGTAGTTGTGCGCCTCATTAATTACCTCGGAGGGAAGCCTTTACAACATTTCCAAACACAATAACCAACAACTTCGAATGAGAAATGAATGAAGATGTTGGTGACGAAATCATGAATAAATACGAACATAATTCTAAATTAAATGTGGAAATCCTGTTGTTAACCCGCGATAATTCATAAATTCCGTTTTTCTAATATTCATTCAAACCCTTCAATTTTGACAATCGACGGATTTTCCCCTTTCAATCAGAGGTGGAAGGGCGTATGTTTCAAATGCGGATCGACAATTGATGTTAATTTATTTCAAAACACCACTGATCGAACATTCATCTCTAATTAAATGTCGGAGAATGAAATAAAAAGTAATATTTCCATGCTCACATGGTTCATGAACTGGGACATCCGCAAATGCAACTCATAAATGGACCTAAAACCCATAAAACCCCAGAATATATTTTTTAGAAGATTCTAATCGTGAGATCACCTGAGAGACGATATTCATAAAAGCGTAATTAACAACCAAAACAATGCAACCTAATGTGAATACATTATAATGGTCTTAATGACTTGATACAGTCGTGAGCCTCAGAGGAAAGCCTTTACAACATTCCGAAATACCATTACCAACAACTTACAATGAAAAATGAATGAAGATGATGGTGATGAAATCATGTATAAATACGAACATAACACCTCTAAAGTGAATGTGGAAATCCTGTTGTTAGCCCTCAATAATTCATAAATTTAATTTTTATAATGTTCATTCAGACCCTTCGATGTTAACGATTGGGGAATGACGACAGATTTATTCCCTCACTGACAGAAAAATTAATTTTATCCAGAGAATTTTATTTGAACCCACTATCATTTGGTTGTTAATTTTCAAATGAACATGATTTCATAGTGAATTCCAGTTATCTCTTCTTGAGATACATTTGATTGGGAGAAATCGAACTTCTCTAGAACTGAAGTTCCTCTTATTTGTCGCAATAATGAGAGTATTTGATTTCTTTCTAGCCAAAAGTTTGCTAACTCCAGAAATTCGTTGGTTTACTCAAAAATCAAAAT